AAACCTCTAAATATATATATTGGGTTGGAAAGAAAGTCAAGAAACACTGCGCAAATTAAAAAAAAATGTATGCCTTTATTGAAATGCAATTTCAGTCTACAATGTAATGACCATTGTGCCCAGAACTCTGGCGATTGCGAAGCGAAGAAACGGCCGACATCATTTTCGAACTGTCCTCGATCGTCGAAGGCCTTCTCGCGCAGGTGATTCTTGAGGGCCCGAAGCAAGTGATAGTCGGAAGGGGCCAAGTCCGGAGAATTCGCTCGATGGAGTAAAAGTTCCCACCCCAGTTCCGAAATCGTCTGGCGAGTCATCTTCGCAACATGTGAACAAGTTTTGCCATGCAGAAGGAGAACTTTGTCGCGTTTGGGATGCACTTTTTGAATGACGCCAGCCAACTTCTGAAGTCGAGCAGCGTAGACGACGGCAGTCATGGTGGTACCGGTTGGCAGGAGCTCATTGTACAACATTCCTTCTGAATCCCACCGACAGCAGAGAAGAACCTTCTTCTCGTGGAACCCTGGTTTCGGTTCGTTTGGCGGCAATTCTCCTCATGGAAGCCACTGACTCTTGCGAGTATGGTTGACGTAGATTACCCAGCTCTCATCTCCAGTAGCGATTTCCTTCAGAAAGTCCTTTCTGTGCGGACGAAGGTACAATGATTCGCAGACACCGACCCGGCTTGCTTTACCAGAGTCGCTGAGATGACGAGGGACCCATGTCGAGTAAACCTTCCGATAGCCGAGGTCTTTCAGATGATTGCCGATGGCCATATGGGTGACTCCAAGTGTAGTCGCCGATTCGCTAGTGGTAGCGTTCGGCTTTGCGTTGAGGGCTTTCCGCACGGCTTCATCGTCGACTGTAGGTGGACGTCCTGAGCTTGGTCGATCTCCGAAGGTCGTGTCACCAGATTCCAAGCGTTTCAACCATTGAGACACCGAGGAATGGTGGACGACGTTGCCCTTTAATGCAGCGCAGTTGTCCTCGGCGGCTCTCGCAGAGTGTCCTTGGAGGAACTCGTAGTAGACGATGGGGCGAAGAGTTACTTGTTCGATCGGATCCATGGCTGCCAACTAATGGCAGAAGCCGCCTTATATACCCCAAGTGCAGAAGCTTCGAGAACATTGCAGCATATACAAATGCAAAGCCCCGTCCATCATTCCTTTGAAAATTTTCATATGTAGTTTTAGAAAGCGTTGCAATACTTTTCTTCTAACCCAATATATGTATACAGATTACTCAGCTTTGAAAATTAAATGGGGCAGTCTCTAATTTCCTGGAACACCTTCATAACTTTGAGATCCCTTACCTCAGGGAAATGGTAGCAACAGTATTTGAAAGCCCAATCTTTAATGTGCGTTTCGTACTAATTAAGCATTTTTTAAACAGATCTTTCTCGTAGATATTCCCTCTGGGAGTGACACATGTAAAAACCACTGGGAAAACTTGCAATTTTCTGCCCTTGAGAGTTTGCATATGTCGAAGTACGATCACTGCCGAACTGTGCAGTTAGAGACATTCATGAAGGCCTAACAAAAGTCAAGGGTGATGGTGATTTTCATTAGGTCTTCATGAATATCCAGTTCAGCAGTGATCGTATGGTATATACACATTTGGTTGAGGACAAAATATATGATGGATGGGGCTGTGAGAGGTAAGAAGTCAAAGAGATATGTGTTTATTTCGCATTTTTTAGGTCATCGGGGGTTAAATGTTTATGACACGCTTCGGTGCTGTCAGATAATGGACAGCACCTTTCAGTCAGCTGAGAGATCCATAGGGATCGCTTCACCCGATTGAAAGAAAGTCGTTAACCATGATTGTAAAGTAATTTCCCCCGTTCACCATGTCTGAGGTGAGGAATGTAAGTGATATTTATTGACCGAGGCTACCCCTTGACCTGTCACATCAAAGCCGCAAGTGGGTCTTTTGAAGTCGAACGGACTATATTTCATACACGACTCTCAAGGCCAGAAAATTCAAGTTTTCCCAGTGGTTTTTACATGGCTCACTCCTAGAGGTCATGTCTACGAGAAAGATTTTTTAATAATTTATAAATAATACCAAGCGCACATTAATGAATAGGTTTTGAAATGTTCCGAATGAGATTTCCCTCCGGTAAGGGACCTCAAATTTACGTAGGTGTTCCTGAACTTATTGACTGCACCTCGTATATTTTTTCTTAGGTTTCCTTGAGGACACCCCCTCGAAATATGCATCTAATATATATAGACGATCGTGACGGATAATGTCTGCGCTTCGGTGGTGCAGTGGTATCGCATCTGATCAGCTATAGTGTGGCATGGGTTCAATTCCCGGCCATTCCACGCCTTTTTTTGGCTTCTATTGACTTCCATGTCCCGTTGATATAATAAAACTGTGAGACATGGAAAGCTGAAACGTGGCATGGACGTGCCTACCAACAAGATGAGTTCAGAAAAAATGCAAAATTATACATCCAGGCCCGGGGGACATATTTTTGAAGGCCAACATTTTCAATAATTTTTTTGTCCTGGTGTATTGAGCTAGTGTGGAAAGATGAAACTTGGTACATTTCTACCTACTGCGATGCTGCGTGCAGACAAATTCAGACTTTGGAATGAAATGCGCTGGTGGCATGAATTTCAAAGGGAGATGTTTTCACATAATGTGTTTGCATTAGTTAAACCGATGGACATAGAAAGATGGAACTTTGCATAAGTGTGACTACCAGAATAAGGATTTAAAGTAAAATGCTAAGCCTTGTTACATCTCATATGGAAAATTTCTCGAGGGGCGATGTTTAAAAAAAAAGAATCGTCGTGGCGAATTGGACAGAACTGGAAAGGTGAAACTTGGCACATGTATACTTGAGGTGATATTGTTGAGTTGAGGGAGTATTCAGCTTTCATGATGCATCCCCTCTGGGCATAGCTTTTGGGTGGGTCGGCTTTTCCAAACATGATTTTTCACTAGCGAAAAGGGCAAACGTATAAGATTGACACTTGGTGGGCATGTAGTTCACTGAGGTTTGATTTCGGTAAAAATTGTACTTTTCAGTTAAAACGCCCTAGGGCACATATTTTGCTTATTTTCCTGAATTTTCTGAGTGTGCTAGCAATTTTAAACTTCGCAAAGAAGTACCTGATGAATAGCTGAGTAAAGAAACAATTCTACTTTTATACTATATATAGACTATCATGAGTAGCTAACTGACTGCCATAAGTAGCTATTCACTTGCTGAGTTTAGCAAAAATGTCACTTAGTTGATACACTCCATAAGGGCACACCTTTTCGAGGAACATATTTTCAAGTAGATCTCTTTGCATCAATGAAACGGAGACCCATGGGTAGCTGTAACATGGCAAGAACGTGACTGGTGGAACACTCAGGTCAAATGTCAAATGACGAATTTCCAAAATATTTTTGAGGGGCATATTTCATTGGGGACGTTGCATTTTCAAAGAATTTTTAATATCCTGGCGAATCGGGCAGAAATAGAAAAATAGTAGCTGGCGCACGCATAATGGACGTGATGTTGATTTAAGGAAAAATTCAACTTTTGCTGAGCGTCTCCCCAGAGCACAGCTTTTGGGTGGGTTGCTTTTCCAAATATATATTTTACCGCTCGCGAAAAGGGGAAACGAATAAGGTTGAAACTGGGTGACGTGGAGTTCCCTAAGTTTGTATTTCAGGATTTAAAACAAATTTTCGTTCGATCCAATGAAACAGAAACAGAAAATTTAACATTCCCTCAGAAGTACCTATTTGATGGCTGGGTATAGGAAAAATCCTACTTCTGAAATATTTTTAACTTTAGCATATATTATTGGGGGGAAGTATTTCAAAATGTTTTCTCCACCCTTACAAAAAGGGACACAAAAAAAGGTTTCAAGTTAGGCACAATATAAATAATTGAAGTAATGATTTTGACAAAAAATAACGACTTTCGTTTCCATATGTCACGTATTTCAATCGGACGTACTTTAAATACGTGTTTGCCATTTCGCAAAGAATAAATCACTAAATCACTATCCAAGGTAATGGAGCGCCGAAGGCGTGACCACAGCGAATTTGTTTGCACGAAGGGCAAACAAACAGGCTAGTTATGTGATAAATGTATGGAATTTCAATTGAAATCGGGTCATGGGTCGAAACTGGGCAAATTCCATTTATTGCTTGATGTTTTTCCTACCAGCATATCAGGGTAACCTCGTTTCACGGTATGGCCTTTGACACTTTTATTACTTGTGTCATTTGGGGTAAGTGTGATCAGTCCTAAGTTTTTGTTCTTACGATTGAAACATGCTCTGAACGAAGTATGCACTAAGAAGTACTCTGACATGCCGATCAAGCATTTTATATTTAGCAAAATTTCACTGGACTAATTGAGATATGTGTTGAATATGAGAGTATTTTCTTTCAAAACTTCTCAATATGGCGCATCTCATTCAACTTTCCCTGTACGATCAGTATTGCTGAGTGAAACTCCCTTTTTTTTAGAATGGTGAATTAGATTCCATGCTTTTTTCAACTAGTACCTTTCAGAGTTCCATTCATGCTAATCTTGGGCGCAATAACACTGATCACGCTTACCCTGTAAAATTGAGCATCAGGTTGAGGGTGATCGCATATTCGGGGTAAGTGTTATCATAAATAACATGACTCTCTCTGCGGTCTTCATGTCTTGTTCACTTGTAGACTTCATTCAGAGACTCACACTAACTGATTCGTCGGGGTGTGATCAATTCGACCTTTCCAGCGCAAATGCGGTGTACTCCTAAAGTCATTGAAGTTTGTGGATGAATGTACCATGATTTGAAACTAGGAATCTAAGTTTGACGTGCACAAAAGTACTTCCATATGTCTGCCACATATATGATTTGCCATTCTTTAAGATATTAATCTTATTTATCACAATCCGAATGTCCTTACTTATTGTGTTCTATCGAATGACACTAGTTTCATCGTGGGGCGCGATTAGCCAAAATCGCATAGAGTTTTGCTATCCTTTTTTGAAGTTTCTGGACGCAAAGGTTGGGGAGATACATCTCTTCAAAGAGAAGGGAAGCCTGATATTTGACCTGAAATCATGTGACCTGAGGGAGACACCAGGTGACTCCAAGGCCATTTCTTGAGATTCCCTACATTAAATATGAAGCGAAATTACAATCCAAGGGGGTCGGTTTTTTCCCCCATACATTAGGACAGTACGAGTATATGTCGTCGCAGTATATACTATGCAAAACAGGTCTATTTCATAACAGGTCAAATCTCTATTTACAGGCATGAAGAGACTCATTGGAAGAAAGTATCATCAATCACTAGAGCAGATGAAGAGTTATTGCTCATACACCATCGTAAAGGAAGAAGAGAAACCGATGGTTAAGGTAAATAATCCCTTGTATACAATTCCTTTGTAGTGTTGCTAGTGAGAAATAAGGTACATAGGTTAATGTGGATTCTAAAAAAAGGAAAACATTGTTTTAGTGGAATGAGCAGCCTAAATAAGTTAACATGATTGGAAGAATGAAACACAATATGATGGCAGCCCTCTACATCAAGTACACTCCGAGCTGTAGCAATTTGAATGTAGAAAAATGTGACCCATCTTTCATCAAATCATTAATTAGGTGCCCATAGACTTTGTCTTATTCGATGCAGGAAGTCTATATTAGTTTCATTTTGAGCGTCTCTTCATTCCCATATCAATAACATGTGAATGAGAGAAAAAGGGTCTGACTTTTGACCTACAATTCCAGAAAAAACAATGATTTTTTCCCCTGAAAAATTAATGCTCAATTTCATTAACATTCTCAAATTGACATTATAGCACAAATTTCAAGTTGTATCTCTCATGGGATCAGAAGGCATAAACGACAGAGTGGTAGCAGGTACATGATAATCCCCATATAATCATCTACAGCAGAAATACTCAGTGACACTTGAATGACAGGAACTCTTTTAAAAAACGTACGTCAAATCAAAATTGGACAAGTAGAAAGAAACTCCGTTATTCATGATTTAAGCTATCCAGTTGTGAGATCATGCAGATAAGAATGAGTATGCGCTGTAGCAACTTTTTCCCGTCAGGATGAAGTTTTTGCTTTATAAATCGTGCATGATCGCGGAAATCCTTAGTTTTGTTTCTCTCTTGGAGTCTTCGAAGCTGCAGTACTCTAAGAAAGTGGCTTTGCTATTTTGCTTCCTCATTGGAAGTCTATGAGACGTCATTGTTTTTTGGTTATACAAACCTTGGTGGCTTGCTCTTGCAGCGAATCTCTTGATTGTCCATCTATCTCTGTCACATACTCCTTTTCCATGGCAGATGGCTGAGAATTGCCGCTCACCGAGAAAGCTAGTCTTTTTCATGATGGTACAAGTTGAGGAATTTTTTTTCAATTTTTTTCAATGAAATATAGATCCATCCAAGAAGTAAGTGATTTTTCGTGGAATGGAACCAAACCAAACTATCATTTAGGAAGTTCATGAGGTACTCCTGTGAGTATCTCATGGCAACCATGTCGTGTTTGATGCATTCTGATACTATCACACAGTTCACATGCTGGAATTTCTCGGAGTCTTTGAAATATGCCGCAAGTATATGGATGATTGCTTGTGATTTGTACTAATGAAAAATTTTGCTCTTCATCTCACAGGAAGAAACGCAAGATTTTTCATTGATGAAAGAATAATTCTCCGAGGAATCGCATATCAATGGGAATTTCCCTTTTCACCAGCTTGATTTCGTTTTTCATTGAAACATATGAGGTCTGGCAATGAAGTTCCCGGATTTATTTTTTTGTGAGTCTGCCAATATCACAAAAATTATTTTCATTCCATGGATTGATAGATTAGACTGTTGGGCAGTGGTGTTTCAGTTCTCATCTGACTAGCATCTTGAATGAGAGTTTGGCCGGCTATGTTGCAATGCAGTGTGTAAGGCGTCTGTCATATTCACAGCGTGAAGCAATGCTTCATCACATTTTGTCTCAATCAAGGGAATGCAGCTGTTGCAATCCATCAAATGTTGCAAGAATTGTCTCGCCAAATTGACTTGTCACACTCCAAGAATATTGAATCGTTTTCAAGGCTTTCAATCCGTAGAAATGCCATTGAAAATAATGATTGGTTTAGCCATACCTTAGATGAATGGTTGGTGAAGGTTGGGGTTGAGGTGGATCTGAGTGTTTTCACTACTTGCTAAAGGGCTTGAAGGTCATTCAAAATTATTGGAGCATAACAAGGAACTTTTCAGGACACTTCTGCAACATTTGATGGATTACTGCAGCTGTATTCCCCGGTTTGAGACAAAATGTGAAGGATTGCTTCACTCTGGGAATATGACAGACGCCTTAAACATTGAGTTGCTACATTGCCAGCCAAACTCTCATTCAAGATACTAGTCAGATGAGAACTGACACAACACTACCCAACAGCCTAATCTACCAGTCCATGGAATGGAAATAATTTTTGTGATATTAACAGACTCACAAGAAAATAAATTCTGGAACTTTATTGCCAGACCTCGTAAATTGCCGCCTTGCAATGAATGAATTTGAGGACAGAACTTCCAGTCTCTCAAAGAAGGAATTAAACAAAATTATCAGTAGACTTGCTGATGGTCTTAAGGCTGGATCTGTCAACGGAGATCCGCCGATAGAAGATGATAACGTCAATCATATCGTGATCCATTAGTGATCTTAGATTTTCCTTCAGATCCAAAATACCAGGCATTCACGGAAGTAGCACGCTGGTTGAGGAGGATTACGACTTCATGGATCCGCTTTTGATGGATTTTGCAGGAGCACATCGCATACGTACCATTCGCTCCAGCTAAGACACAGTGCTTTGGATGAAGTTAGTGAAATGCGGTGGAGCCAATAACCTAAGAGGGGAATCCTAGGTATCTTTTAATAGTTGATACGCTTCCCTCAAATAGCTCAAGACCAGCCTTTTCTGCAAGGGAATTTGGTTCCCAACCCATTTCACAAAAAGGAATTATTTCTCGCCAGGCTTGATTCGACACAATTTGTCACATTTCTGTAAGTTTCTGAAAATGTCAACTATTTCAATTGAGTTTTCATTCATAGTTTAACGATATGGCATGGACATGATCCCGTTCTGCTTCAAATGTTATTTTGTATTGCGCACCGTGAATTTTGTCCAGGCAAGGGGGTCCGTTGGGCCCCAAGGCGTCAAGTTTTCTACAAACCATTATATACATTTTCAGTCGTTTTTAGTATAAGTCCTTCAAGTCGATGAGACCCTGACGCCAAAACATCACCAATATGAACATTTTCTGAAAGTAATTTAAAAAACATGATTTGTGTGACATAACCGGGCAGGGGGTCCATTGGACCCCTACTACGTTCCATGTACACATCAATAGGTGCGGTAGCGCCTATTACCTTTCTTCAACCCCTTCCCGCCGCAAAATTCAACCTCCTCGTATTCCTCTCTGAGCGCATCAATGGGAACGAAATTTGGCATGCTTCTTCCTCTCCCACCACAAAATCACTCCAGCAAATTTGGAGCTCCATCTCCCCAGGGTTGTGGAGAACACTGAATCTCACTTTTCAAAGATGTGACATCACATTCCGTTTTTTCCTCTCCTCCCCCTTGATAGCCACTCCTGGGGGGTTCTCGGAGAAAAGCGACCAACCATGAGACAGATATTGACTCATAGATGACGAAAAGTGGCTATTTTGCTGTTTGTGATTTCGCCATAAAAAATGAAATTAGCTGTCGTTCAATTAGGCTTAGAGTGCTTCCTTCGGCACCGTCCCCCAGTGTTGCCGGATACCTTGCCGTAATTATGCCTGATTCAAGACTTGTTGTTTTTTTTTATGTGCAAGACATTCTTGTGCTGAGTTCATGAGATGAGTTGAGAATGAAGCTGTGGTTAACAATTATTGATCGATGTGGTGGGATATGCAGATATCCTATCCCCACATCCCTGAATTAACAGGATGGAGCGTACCATGGATTCCATGCTTCATGAGGGCATTCTCTCCTCAGACCTATTCGAAATGGTTCGAGGAACTCCTGATAGGCCTAACGTTCTACCTCCCACTGAAATGGTTCATGAAACTCGAAACAGGCCTCCAATTGGTCTAGCGTTACACGTCTACTCTGAAATGGGCCACGAGAGACTGAATAGGCCGGCGATTGCCCTAGCGTTACGCGTCCTTGGCCAGATGTCTCGAGAACCCACGATTTACCCTTGTAGGCCTAATTGGCGCCGTAAGTCGAGAATTGAGTTTCTGAGGAATTTGAGGAAAAGGTAGGCTTGGGCGTGACCTGAAGGCAGTCTGTTGGTTAGGCCTAGGCCTAACGTTAGTGAGTCCCGTAGAATGGCAGGAAAGGGGAAGTGGAAGAAAGGGAAAGCGAATGAAAATTGGTTTTTACATTACTTCATATAGCATGTTGTCCCCTGATTCCCCTATATTTCTCAGCTTCTTCACCTAACATTTGCCTGAAAGGCTATCTGACAACTCGAGTAAGAGAGGAAAAGGTAGGAGAGAGGGGAATTCCTGATTTTATGTTAGGCTCATGGGAAAGGATTTGTCCTCAAGCAGTATCTTTCGAAGAGATGAGTCACTAAGATGAAATTTGGGTAATCCCAAAATGAATTTGTCCGTTTCACATCCACACTTGTCTTTTCCATCCTTGTGGGACGTGATGGTTTAACGTTATTCCTCGTACGGTTTGGCATGGCATTGTCATGATGACAATTAGTTCTCGCCCAGTGTTAGTGATTTGGCTCAATCTGAAAATGTTCCTTTGTGTTCTATTTTTACACTTTTTTCATTTTAGGCTGAGCTTGTCTCTAGGTCTATAGACTTGATTATGAAGCTCAGAATAGACTAATGCTAAAATGCATTTGGAAATCTGAGAATAATGATCAGACAGCACAGCTGTCAGCTTATATGTCTTATAAATAAATATTACAAGAATTCTTACCAGAAAACAAGGACATGGAGGACCTTCGGGCTGAATGCACGTGCATCGATCAGATCACTGTCTTACTTTCGATGTGTTCGAAATTAGGAAATGTTTAAGAAACTTATGTTCGGGCATGCATCCATGCGTGTCATATTCGCTTAAATATGATGTTTTCTATTAAGAGAGAAAAAAACCCTGGAGTTGACAAAACTCAGTTGAGTCTTGCTTTTCAGGGAACATGTTTTCTTTTTACCGCAGTCCGAAGTTTCATAGCGTAAATGTAAATTCAATCGCCACAATTGTGTTTATTGGGACTCAAACAATCCCAATCGATATGTTGAGGCGGACAATTTGGGCGCACAGATGGTGATGGTTTGGGCAGGGATATTTTCGGCGGAAAGGTCGTACCGATCTTCTTTGATCAGTCGATGACAGGTGCCACCTACCCTCGTATGCTGAGTGAAAGTGACCTTCCAGTGATCTCCCATTGTGAGGAATTTTAATGCCACACCTTCCAACTAGATGGCGCTCCTCCCCATTACGCTCGAACAGTTCGAAATTTTCCGGATGAGATCTTTCCCGAATGGATTGGTCGTCGTGGAACCAACGGATGACCATGAAAATCTCCCGATATGACTCCCCTTGATTTCGTCCTCTGGGGATTTCTCAAGGATCAAGTTTTCGCCTATTTTCCTAAGGATATTTATTAAATAACTTCCCAAAACTTTTAAAGGCTTGAATAGATGTTAATGGCGGATATTTCAGAATATATCATTTGTTCGCAAATATTAGTGTTTGCGCTCCACTTTTGTATTTTTTGCATTTTTCAATGAGCCCGTTAACTCATATTAATAACTAGTGGAAGACTTCTACGAACTCTTTGGCAAGAAATCCCGAGTTCATTTGGCGGCCCTAAAAATCAGTGGCCCTCTCACCGCTATAGGCAGTAGCACCTCTTTCCCATTATTTACGTGCCCTAACGTGCATTACAACCCTTGGAGTCCACTTTCATCCCGCTGAAGGGAGGATGACTTCCTCGCCGGGGTGAGATCTTTGTCCTTATATGTATCGGCACCTTTCCTATTGATCACAACCCTATTCGCTTCGTCCGTAAAGACCATCTCCATCTCTTTGCCTGCAAGCCTATGAGTGAAATATACGGTTATGGATGCGGGATGGTAACGACCCAACCGGCGGATTCCTTGCGATCCAAGAATAAGCTATACTGTTCTGTGCCACCCTTATAGAATCCTGCCGCGTTCTCGTATATGATATCCATGATGTTGCATCCTCTAATCAATGGACAGTTGGGGGAAAATCTACGGTGTTCTTCGTATGGATTGTCTCCTAATCCCCAGTTTTTAAGGATTAGACGAAAAAAAAATAAAAGCCGTCTCATCGCGGATCCCCGTATAATGTAGACCCCATCTTGCCATCTCGCCAGTAGATACAATGTATATTTTTGGGAAGAACTCAAACGACCAGAGTCGCCTGGCATGGCACAGCATCTTCTTCCGGTTGGGGTTGAAATCTTCATCGCCGGATGGATAGTCCTTGTTCAGGGCACGAGGAGAAAATTCCATGTTCGAAAGACATTTGTCCGTCAGCAGGGGATACAGCCAATTCATTTCCTTATGACATTGGTAGACACTTGGCGGAGTGGAATATGCTCGTAGCCAGGAGGTATATGACGATGTCGCGGACGAATGGTTCCACTCGATTCGATAGTGATGAAGAAGGTCTTCAAACTGCATTTCCCTTAGCAAAATGGGCAGCAAACGATGTGCTTTCATAATTCTTCCAAGTTGTCCTGCACCTTCGATGCGGTCTTTGGGTCCAGATAGAATCCCCACCTGACAAGCTCTGAAACATTCACATAACCTGCTATTGCAGGAACAACGTTGAAAGTCTTCCTCTGTTGCTTCTAGGTGAACAACGCGAGGGCGAAATTATAGTTGGGCTTGACGAGCGCAGCGTCAGTGCTAACAACTTCCATCTTCTCGACTGAATGAAAGTGACACCAGGATAATCGAATCTTGTAAATCTTCTTCCCCAACATACTCGTTGCTCCGTTCCACGACACAGGTTGAATTACCGGGAGGGGATGGGGGAGGGGGGGGGGGGGGGGGGGGGGG